TTCATGTTTGAAAGGACAAGAGATGGGTTTCCATACCCATCAAGATAGTAAACTCCTTGCTAGATGATGCTAAGAAAAGTGATTAAAGAAGAATTCTCCCCCTATGTTATTATACACTCGCAGTGCCTCACACAGCACCTGGCACAGAGGGAGAAGATGATGTTGTTTTATGTGAGCATGAATGAATGGTTATCCTGAGTCTGCTGTGTTTACTATCTATGTGATTGGGCTGCTTCCTGAGCCTCAGTCTTTTTGACTTTAAAATGGGTGTAACAGTATCCATCGCTCACAGGATTGTTGTTCAGAATTGCCCAGGGTTATGTTAAGAGCGCCTGGCTCCATTGGGTGTTTGCTTAACATTTCTTCAACTGGATGTCAGGGACCAGGTATTTAAAAACATCCCATTTGCACTCTGTAAGGAAAGGCAGAATGCAAAGTGAGCTGGTGTGGGATGAAAGAAAGGATCAGGGATTTAGGCTGCCCGGAGCAAACTTTTCATAAATTGGTTCGACTCCGCTGGCAAACCACTTGAACATGTTTGTTTTCACCAGCAAGGGTCATGATGGTGCCTCGTCCAGAAAGGCTGCCTTACTGATCCCAGCCGCACACCAGTCTCCAGGCTTGTGTCTGCTCTTAGGGGCTGCTGGGGGGCAGGTCACATCCATTAAGGAAAGGGCAGAGCTGCTCATAAAACTGTTTGTCTCATACAGTTTCTGGGCAGGATCCACACAAGTCCAGTTTGCTTGTGGTCAGACCCCCATTTCCCACCCCCCAGTCGGGGAGGAAGGAGGGCCGAAAGAAGGGAATGTAGAAGCGGGTGTGTCCACACTTCACAAATGGCAAGGGATACAAGTTATAAGAAATAGAAATCACTTTCTAAAAATTAATGGAGGCTTGGGACTTCCCTGATGATCCAGTGGTTAACACTTCATCTTCCAATGCAGGGGCCACAGGTTCGATCCCTGGTCAGAGAGTTAAGATCCCACATGCCTCATGGCCAGAAAACCAAAACATAAAACAGAAGCAATATTATAACGTGTTCAATAAAGACTTCAATAGTATTTATTGTTCAATAGTCCACATCAAAAAAAAATTCAGAAAATTTGATGGAGACTATTCATGTTCCCACACCAGGAGCAATCTGGGGGCGTTCCCTTCTGCTGGGCTACCTTTCTGTTTCTTTCTCCTCTCCTCTCTCCCTCCATCTCTCCAGTGTCTGTTCAGCATGTATCAGGCATTAGCCACCAAGCCAGGCACTGCCAGCAGGGAAGGAAAGTTGCTGCAAGGAGGAGAAAGACCCAAATCCTGCCCCCAAGATAAATTCGCATATTTAATTTTCAGACAGAGAGGATGTCTCATTCGGCCAGCAGCTCCTTTGGAGCATGAGATATCCCACGTAAGCAACTTTTATTGATAACTGAAGCTTATCCTGTTAGCCTTTGAAGTTGAAAAAAATGAACTCTTTTCCATGAAAGTTTTAAATAAATCCTTTCCAAGTGTCCAGGCTGCCTGAGGCTCGTGTGACATTTCCTGTGTGCCCTCAAGTGTGCCTTAGCCCTGCCTGCAGAGACATTGACCTATTTGCCGTCCAGGTGGGCACCACTTGGACATTTTTCTCACTGGATCCTCATGGCAGTTCTGCCTACGAGGAACCTGGAACTTAGCCAGGCAGGTGGATGCCTCCTTGGTCTGGAAAAGGTAAAACTGTGACCCAGGCTCAGGTCAGCTGGATTCTGAAGCCCAGGCTTTTTACCTGGAAGCACATATGACCTTTACCTGGTGCCCAGAGTTGATCAGAGCTACCATCCTAACTTGTAGGGCTCCTCAGGGCCATGTCTGGAACGGAGATTTGTCCAGAGCGGTCCGCTGTGTCTTCCCCACCTCTCCGTTTTCCTCCTTGTGGAAAGGAGCACATGGAGGATGCAATTCGTTAAGGACTGTGGGCCCAAGGGACACATGAAGGACAAGGAGCAGGAGACTTGGTTTTGATGTAAGAGCTTTGGGGCAGACCATGTTAGTGTTCCAAACTTCCTCTAATAATCATGGTGACTTAGTTGGGCTCCCCTTTTTCTACAGACCCTGAGATAAAGATCTGGGGACAAGTAGTTTCTTTGAGAGGTGAGCCCAGGGCACCCCAGTGGTGGGGGGCGGGGGGTGGTGTTGAGAAGTGAGAGAGGGACAGGAAGAGAAGGCAGCCTGTCCTGGGTCCTAGAAGAGCAGGTGACAGTCATGGGCACCTGGGGTCCAGTCCCTTGACAATACACCTCTGAGTTGTCCCACAGACTGTTAATTTGTGGAACACCGCGCAAACTAACAATAAACACAACCCCCACAGTAAAAACAAGAGTACCTGCAACTTCAAGTGCTCTTCCTAGGCATCTTACCTCTGTTGTATCATTCATCTCTACTGTCCTGTGAGACAGATGCTGTGATTGTCCCCACTTTACAGATGAGAAAACTGAGGCTCAGAGCGGGTCAGTGACTTGCCCAGCATGTCACAGCCAGGAAGTGGTGGTGTCAGGCTTTGAACTCAGATTTGTTAAGTATATTATCCTGACAACATTTCCTTTTACTTTTTAATCTGTTTATTTGTTGGGGGGGGGGGATATGGAGCAAGGAAGACCCTGCCTTCTGGAAGACTTAGGCATCCACACATCTCTCGTCTTGGAAGTAGAGTGTGTCCCTCTTCTGTGTGGTCCTTGAGCTCTGGCGTGCATTTGCTGAAAACCCACACTCCCAGCACTTCTCGAGTCAGAACCCGAGAGGGTATGCCTTGGGGATCTGACCCTGAAGTAGGTGGTCTACCGATAAATTGCATGCTAGTGGCTCTTCTTTCTTAGGCAGTGAAAAGGAAAAAATCTAATTTTGGTGGAATCATGCGTGTTTCCTGCTGGAAAAATGATTCTTCATAAATGAGGCATGTCTAGCCTCAGTCCCTGTGCCCCTTCCCCTCCAGGGTCTGGGTGATTCCAGTGCCAAGCTCATCCTACTGTCTGGATCAGCAAGTCCTGGATGTGTGGGCTCTAGTTTTTGACATGAGAACCTCTGTGCAAGGTTTAACTGTCCGGGCATTGGAGAACAATCTCTTGGGGTTTCTTCAGTGCCATGCTCCCGGCCCTGGCACTGCCCTTTGAAGCCATGACTGGAAGGATGCATGTTCCATCTCCCACCCTGCAGCCAGGGTGGAGGAGGGCCGCTCCCTTCCTGCAGAAGACAGAAAGGAAGATGCCAGGAGGAGACAGGAGATGGCTGAGGTCACTAGGGGTCTCGCCTGCCTTGTCCTGATTTGGACACGGTCCAAAGGTAACGTTGAGTTGCTTACCGTCACTTCATGGCGCTGCTCATGACAGGGAACGGGGTGCTTCACACCTGCACATCAACCTCCCAGCTGGGTTTGCTCAAGAAAACTCCTAAGTCGGGGGTGGCAGAAAGGAACAATCTCTTTCTGGAAGTTTCCGGAAGTTGAACTATTTCAATCAGGGAAGAGTACAGAAACCTCTTGGTCTGACTATCATTTGTTATCAGCAGTCCCCCCAGTTCAGGTGCATTCATCTGACCCAGTCACAGTTGTCTAAAACTTCTGATTTCTTCCGGGTGTTTGTGGGATCAAATACAGACTCTCGCACTGGGGCTCTGCCCACCTTCCCTTCCTCAAATCTTCCTTTCACTCTGGTTCTCTTCATTTCAGCTTCATCAGCCTTTAACTTCTGACCCCTGAACCCATCAGGCTTGATTTTGCCCCCTAACCTCACTCCTGTCACTTTCCATCTCGTTTCCCTGCATTATTTTTTCACCATCTTCCCACACTGGCAACGATCCGATATTTATGTGTTTATTAACTGTTCCCATAAACATATGGGTTTCATCTGCGTGACCATTGTGTGTGTCCCCAGGACCTGTTTGTAGAATGAATTAAAGGCTAATTTCACACTCAGCAGGGCTTTCCATCAAGGGCTTTGATGCAACACTAGTTATCTCCATGGGAGCTGGGACCTTGCCTATGGGTCTGAGTCTGGGGGCCTTAGAAAAGAAAAAGAAAACCAGGTCATAGCACCCTTTGAAATCTGACAAAGGAAAAAAAAAAGAAAAGAAATCTGACAAAGGTATGGGGAAGAGCAAGGTGACATCTTGGATTTGTCTCAAAGCAAGACATTTTACCTCTAAACTTTTAAACATAATACCATTAAAACTTAATACCTGTTACTAATCTCATCCTAGTTGGAAGTCTTGGTTGGCTGTCCTACAGAATGAGCCTTTAAGAAAAAAATGAGGCTGCCTCAGGCACCACTGAGCCAGGGTTTCTGCCAGGACAAGTCAGTTAATCCCAGCTTTTCTATCTGTAAAATGGGAAGAATAATACCTATTTCATAAAAGTGCTTTAAAGATCTAATGACTTAGCATCTATAGAATTCTTGATACAATGGCTGGCAAATGAATCTTCAGGTAAGCAGGTGGTGATTGAATGATGATGACAAATATAGACTGGTAGATAACAATGTCTTTCAAAGCATGAAGTCCAAGTGGACATTGTTGGTTAAACAGTTACTTCCCACTCTTGGACTATCCAGGACTGACCTGTGAATGTGGGGATGGCAGAAAAACTCTCTCCAGAGTTAATTTCCTAGGTTCCAAGGGTATGCCTTTGCAGTAGCTGTCTTATCTCACCCCATATCTTGGTATTCATAGCACCCAGAGCTTTCTGAACCATTGGTGTGTCTCATCCACCCATCCATCTACCCAGCCATATATCCACCCACCCATATATCCACCCATCTATCCATCCATTGATCTGTTTAAACATCCATCTATTCATCCATCCATCCATCCATCCATCCATCCATCTATTCATCTGCCTACCCACCCATCTATCCATCTACTTAACCATCCATCCATCCATCCATTCACCCATCCATCCATCCATTCACCCACCCATCCATCCACTTGTTCATCTCGACATCCATACATCTATCTATCCATCCTTTTCTCTTTTTCTCTCTCAGGTTAAAGTGCCACAACAAATGCACCAAAGAAGCCCCGCCTTGTCATCTCCTGATCATCCACCGAGGAGGTAAGTATTTAACACTTCTTGCCCTGAGGGTTCCTGCGGGCCATCTGAGATAGCTGTCTATCCAGGTCAATTTTGGATAACCCCTTGATCCTTAACCTTTGCCTGCCTCATTTCTTTCCCTCTGACCCCCTCCTCCTGACATCTGTCACCTTAATCCACCCCGGTGCCCGTTCTCCCTATTCTTTGTCCCCACTCTGGTCTCCTTGATAGTTTAGCCCCCAGATTCATTTCCCCTTCCTAATTCTTGTCTCTCATTCTTGTCCTCTCTCCTAATTTTTCACTCTCCTCTCTTTCCCCCCAGTCCTACTCCTTTCCCTTCCCACTTAAAACGAGTACTAGCTGAGTGTTTTTCCACTATGTGCTCTTCAGACTGTCAGTCGGCCCTGTAGAAATAGGCACAGAGAGGGGTCTTGATTGGACCTGTTGGTTTGGGTCATCCATGTTCCATCTCCAGAGGCCTGGGGAGTGCCTGGGCCAACCTGGCTGGGCAGGGAGGTAACCGGACACTGCCTCTAGGAAGCCACTACCAGCCTTCCACCAGGCAAAAGCAAGACCAATTTAGTCGGAAGGGAAGACTAGAAGGAAAGTTTTTACCTGCCTGCCAAGAGTACAATAGGAGGCCTTGTAGTCCAACTTTCAAAATGTAGTTCCCCTGATTCTTGGGGTAGTTTTTCCATTATCGACACTGTACTTCATCTAGTGGGAGACTCTCTAAGCCTGTATTGCTCAATACAGTAGCTACCAGCCACATCTGACTATTTAGACTTAGGTGAACTACAATGAAATAAAAATAAAAATTTAATTACTCTATCACACCAGCCACATTTCAAGGGCTCAGTGGCCACATGCAGCTACTGTATTGGACAGTGCAGATATAGAACACATTCATCATTGCAGATTGGCCATCGCTGGTCCAGACCCTTACTCTTCCAGCTGTGGCCTGTGGACCAGCAGCAACACGGGAATCACCTGGGAGCTTGTTAGAAATGCACAGCTTTTGGCCCCACTCCAGACTTATCGAATCAAAATCTGCATTTTAAACAACATCTACACGTGATTCGTCTGCACTTCACAGTTAAGAAGCACTGCTCTGAAGTAGAAGTTACAAACTCAGATGCCTGCCAGGGCCAAGCAGGTACCCTGAATGACAGATGCTGGCCAGATGGGGCCATGCAAAGCGGAGAGAGAGCCCAGGCACCTCCTGGAGGGGATGGCCACTCCAGCAATGTGACTTGCATTGTACCACTTCTCATGTTTCTAAAAAAGCCCAAATGGCTTCATATGCCATATACTTATTTTTAAAAGTTGTGCATGTGTGCTAATTCGCTTCAGTTATGTCCAACTCTTTGTGACCCTATGGACTATAGCCCTCCAGGCTCCTCTGTCCATGAGACTCTCCAGGCAAGGATACTGGAGTGGGTTGCCATGCCCTCCTCCAGGGGATCTTCCCGACCCAGTGATTGAACCCGAGTCTCTTATGTCTCCTGCATTAGCAGACGGGTTCTTTACCACTAGTGCCACCTGGGAAGCCCATGTAAGCTTATTATTAAGCATGTAAGCAACTTATTAAAATTGTTAAAATTCTTGCTGGCCCCCTTCCCACCACCCGCCTTCTGTAGGTTGGGTGGAGGCTTAGTGCCAACTTTGGAGAACACAACTTGCTAGTCCTTGTCCTCCTCCTCCACCCTTCCCAGCCCTCCTGGCCTTGGGTCGGTGTGGACTCAGGGGAACCTGCCCTGTTCTCAAACGAACCGAAGGGAAACTTAAAAAAGGAGGCAGATGGCTGCAAAAAGTGCTGGCTTGTCTTCCAGAACCAATGGGCCATTGGTTTTCGATGATCTTTGCATTGCTTTCCTCCATGAGGAGAGGAAACTGCAAGAGAAGGAAAAGTCTGCAGCTCTTTCCTCTTGCCCCTTCCCACCTCACATCCTTAATTAAGAACCATCTGTTCCTTGAGCAACTGTATACACACCCCAAGCTTTTTTTAAACCTGAACTCTCACTACTCTGGAGACCTTGTGTTGCATCAGATTCTTTGGGGGAAATCGCCTCCCGCCAGACACCCCTCCGTGGTAGCCTGCTGGAGCCCTGACTCCCACGTGGAGACTGGAACCAGCCTGCTGGGAGGTGACCCGCTCTCAGACGCTGACATCTGAAGAAGGGCACCCTCCCGCCCACCCACCGTCAGGGCCATGCCCCCTTTAGTCAGAGAGCAAACAGGAACTCTCCAGCACTCTGCCAGCTTCTTGCTCTACCCGCCCCTCTTTGGTAGGAAGTTGAAAATATAGTTGGTTTCCATGGTGATGGCAGCTCAGGCGTAAGAGAGAAATTAAATTCCTGGGTCAGTGCAAAGCTGTAACTTTCTCCCTAACGGCCCCACCCCCACAATAAAAAACAGCTAACCAGTAGCATTACCAGGCATCACATTTGCATGTGAGCTTCACCCCTCCTGCGGCCCCTGTAAATAGTAAGTAACAGAGGGCTGACAGAGAGAGGGGCTCAGGTGGCATGGAGTCAGGACGCGTTTGTTTAGCACCGCCTGCTGGTCCAGCTTTGGTGTGCCTGCAGGGATGGATGCAGAGGGGAGGCTGGGGGAGCCGAGACTTCCCTTTAGGGATCCCCGGTGACCTTTTCTAGGACAAATGTGCTTTGACATGCTAGAGGTCGCTTGGGCCTGAGAAATCCCACAAGTGACACAGGATGATCCTAACACACAAGCTTAGATGGGGGAGGGACAGGAGGCCACAATGAGCTGTCCACTGATGATAGCGCCTGAGAAATCTGGAGCCTCCTGTCTCTCAAAGGAGGTTCAATTCTGAAATGAACTCCAATGTGAAACAATTATGATACGGGAGAAAAAGATTCTGATAGCTTCAGTTTCATTATTAGAAGTTTTAATTGTCAAAAGCCATATGTTGGCAGTACGAACATCTTAGAAACCGCAGGGAACACAGTGGGGAGAGTGTCCCGCTACTGTGACACAGCACAATGACTGTCATTTCTCTGCAATTCCCTTCCAGCATTGGGGGGTGGGCCTTTGAGGTGGGATCTGCTCTCCTGGCATCGGTACAGAGCAGAAGTGGTACTTAAACTTCCAAATCGCTGTCTTTACCCCTACGGATCCAGCAAGGTTAGTCCGGACAGAGTCCGTCCCGTGTGACATCAACAACCCTCTACGAAAGCCACCCCGGTATTCGGACCTGCACATCAGCCAGACGCTCCCCAAAACCAACAAAATCAACAAGGTGAGACTGGGTTCCGCTGGGTCCAGGCCCGCTGGGTCAGGGCGCTGCCATATGAGGAGCAGGAGGGAGGAATGTTCTCAAACAGGACTCGGTGGATTGATCTGGGAGCTTTGCCCTTGCTTCCCAGCACCCCTGGGCTCTCGTCATTCTGTGTGGTTTGTGTCTAGGAAAGTTTGGGGAGCATCCAGGCATCAGTGCAGAGCGAGTGTGCCAGAGATCTGGCTGATTTAGAGAGGGCACCTGGCAATGAGAATGAATGAGCGTGTTGACAGGGGCACAGTAGGGTTGGGAGGACAGCCCGAGAGGGGGTCCTTAGTGGTTCAGGCTCCACCCTCTTTGCTCTGTGAGCTGTTTCATCATCTGCCAGGATGAGCTTTGTGGAAGGTTCTGCACTCTCTGACACATCTGTTGAATCTGATCACCACGGGACGAGAGTCTGTTTCTGAGCTCCTGCTGGAGACTAGGTAGATGGATCTGTGTAGGGGCCCTGAGCTCTGAGCCATAGCCGATCTGGTTGGCTTCTGACTGATCCTCAGATGGTGGTCAGCAGCGGAACTCTCTGTGTGTCTTTCTTTCTAACACGGGCTGGAAATTTCCACTGGGGATTTCCGCGTTCTTTGTTTGATCTGTGGGTTGGACAACACCAAAGGGATCCTGGGGACATTTAAAGCCTCACGGAAGAGGGAGAGGTAGCACATGCCAGCAGGTGATTTCTCAAGCCCTGTGGTGCCTCAGTGCATTATGTGGAAGGTGGATAAAGTGTGGGCCAGTTCAACTGTGTGGACAGTCACCCACCTGGATGAGCATCTCTGGCTGTGTGACCTCTCCCTGGCAACCATGCTCTCCCTTCTGTGCATAAGGCTGGGGAGGGCTTAGCTCCCTCCCCAATCCATTCTCCACACAGCAGTCAGAGTGATTCTTAATGAGTGTAATTTGAATCATGCCACCCTCTGCTGAAAAACCCTTCTGTGGCTTTCTGTCGAGTGGAGGAAACAGTCAACCCCCTTCCTGCAGCCTGCAAGCCTCCATGCACAACTGGTCCCTCCCTCCTTCTCCCACCTCGCTACCAAAGCCCATATGTTCTTTCTCTCTAGAGCTGTCACCTACCGCACTGGGTCTCAGTCATTCACCATCTGGCTCTTGTGGCATTGTCTTAGGACTTGATGGACTTGGCCTCTGAAGTCAGGCAGATCTGGCAGCCAGTCTTGGCTTCCTCCACTTACTCGCTCTTAGAGTCTCTGGGCAAGTTACTTAATCTCTCTGAGCCTCAGCTTTCCTGTGTGTAAAATGGGCATGTTCCAGTAATCCACAGCTGTGCAAACCAACAACCTCAAACTTAGTGGTGGACACCAACAGCTTTTTAATTATGCTTGTGGAGGCTATGGGTCAGGTATCTGGAAAGCAGTCCAGTGGGAATGGTTTGTTTCTGCTGCACAATGCCCAGGGACTCAACTGGGAAAGCTGATGCAGCTGGGGGCTGGAATCATTTAGACTAGGGATTAGCAAACTATGGCTCATAGGCCATATCTAGCTCACAGCTTGTTTTTTTTTGTGAATTAAGTTGTGTTAGAACAAGCCACGTTTATATTTTCTATGGCTGCTTTCAAACTACAACAGCAGAGTTAAGCAGTTACAACAGAGATCACTGGCTCACAAAGCCTAAAATGTGTACTAACGAGCAATTTCGAGAAAAAAGTTGCCAACCCCTGATCTAGAGGGTCCTTCACTCACTTGGGCTGGGATGAGTCAAAGGCTGAACTCAACAGAGGGTCTCTTTGGGAGCAACTACACACAGCCTTGCCTTGTGGCTTGGGCTTGCTTACAATGTGGCTGCTTCAGGGTAGTCAGGCTCTTCTTACATGGCACCTCAGGGCTTGCAGAGCGACTTTCTCATCAAACAAGGTGGAAGCTGCAGAGGCTTTTATAACCTCGCGATATAAAAATCCCATGCACTGTCTTGGCTTGTCGCTAGCCAAGGGTTGTCAGGGCCGGTTGTGCTGTACTGTCCTGATAGAAGCAGTCACAAGCCTACTTAGATTTGAGGGGAGGAGGCATGGTCCCGCTTGTCAGTGGGAAGAGTCCAAGGAATTTGTGGCCACATTTTTAAAATGTCTCCTGCTGAGCAAGAAGAGTACCAACCTCAGAGTATGGCTGTGAGGATGAAATGAAATAATCAATGAAAGGCGAGGCACTTGGAGAGGTGCCTGGCATGTGGATAAGTGTCCAGGAAATTCTAGGTGTTTTTTTTTTTCTCCATTTATTTTTATTAGTTGGAGGCTAATTACTTTACCATATTGTAGTGGGTTTTGTCATACATTGACATGAATCAGCCATGGACTTACATGTATTCCCCATCCTGATCCCCCCTCTAGCTGTTTTTATAAGCTTAAATCTTGGGCTTCTAATCACAGTGTCAGGCTGGGTCCACTTTTCTTTTATTTTTTGGTAAAATATGTAGGTCTTTAGGAGAGGGGCTCCCCCTTCTGGAGTTGGGGTGTTTAGGGGGTTCCAGTGGTGAGGCTCCTGGAAAGTAACTATAACCATCCTTTCCTCTATGACCTCTTGAGGGGTGAGTGGCTCAGAGCCATCTCGAGACCTTTCTCTCTGGGTTTACAGACACAGTAAGCCTCTTGGTGTCAGGTGGGACAGAAACACGGGTCAGATAGATCGGTGACTCTGACATTGTTCTGCTTGTCTGCCAGCAAGAGAATTTGATGAGAGAAATAAATTAACCTCTATTTAGAAAGCGGCTTTGGCATGAAGGTGGACAGGAACTATCAGAGAGCTGTGTTATTTTTTCCCCCTTACTTCTCTTCTCACTAGCTTCACACAGATTCTTTCTGTCAGGCAATGATGTGGTTAGTGCAGTAGATTTCTGAGCCAATTTGGTCTGAAGATTTCCTTTTCATTGCTCTGTCTCCTCTCTCGTCTAGCTCTGTCAATCCAGCTTCATAAAAACCTAGCCTGTTCACCCAGCCTAATGGTTTGAATGTGCATTTTGGAATCAGAAGGTCTGGGCTTGAAACTCAGTTTATTTATATGCTCTGTGATCAAACCAAGATCCTTCTGCCTTTGTTTCCCCCTGTGTAAAATAGGCATTATAATAGTAGATGTTTTGGGGTTGTGGAGAGGCTTTGGTGCAATGATACATGTAAAGGATTTAGTCCTGACGCTGGATCCTCGGGGCATGGAAGAGCTCGGGAGTGAAGAAGAGAGACAGTGGGGAGGAGAAGGAGGAACAGAAGGAGGAGTAGGAGGAAGAAAAGGGGTGGAGGAGGAGGGAGAAGAAGAGAAAGAGGAAGAGGGAGGAGCAAGAAGAGGAAGAAGAAAGAAGAGGAAGGAGGAAATGAAAGAAGAAGGATGAGGAGGATGGAGGACATAGAGGAGGGTGAGGGGATGGAGGAGATGGAGAAAGATGAAGAGATGGAGGAGAGTGAGGGGATGGAGGAGAAGCCACAGCAGCAGGAGCATCTGCCGGCTCCCGGGGGGTCTAGTCTGTAAGGCGCATGCTTCCACATCAAGGCATCAAAAGCCCCACCTACCTGGGTGTCTGAAGCTGAAGATCTGCCCACTGCAGGGAAGCTTTCTGGAGTGGCTGTTTACTTGCTATCCTTTTCAGTTGGTTGCAAGGAAAAGAGCCTCATCTCTGCTAGCTCAGCACGAGGAACTGTGTCTTGGAAGGACTGGACACGGGGCAATAAGAGAAAGAGGAATGCTGGTTAAGGAGTTCGGTCTCATGAAACTGGACGTAGAGGACAGGCTTGTGCTCAGGTCAGCAGCTCGGACCTCCAGCAATACCATGGGTCACTGTTCTGGTCCGCCATCATGACAGTGGTTGGCTACTCTTTGTGGGTCCCCTCTGGTCTGTTACTGTTGACTGTTTTCCTCATCCTTTGCTCTCACCCTTTCTCTCCATCTTCACTTTTGCAGCCATAGAAACACTCCTGCTCCTTGTTACCTCAGCTGATTTGTTTTCTGGCCTGTCGTAGCTCTTCTGTCCCCTTCAACTTCATCTCCTCTCCACCTTTGCTCTGCTTTCTGCTATTATTCCTCTTGCCCCCACTCATCTGATTACTCCAGGTATCATAGGTCATTAACCAGCTGCTGTGATGCCTTGACTTTTGGTCCTGAGTTGGGAGTGGGCTTTGGAGTTCACAAGACAAGTAAGGCTGTTTAGGAGACTCTGTTGGGTTGGAGGTAGAGAAAGAAATGGCAACCCACTCCAGTATTCTTCCCTGGAGAATTCCATGGACATAGGAGCTTGGCAGGCTCCAGTCCATGGAGTCACAAAGAGTCAGGCACAACTGAGCGACTAACACTACTGCTACTACTGTTGCGTTGGAGGGTGGGGATGGTTTCCTTAGGGGACTGTATCCATGGAAGAGAGAGTTATTATTACTGCCATGTCAAAATCAGTGCACAGCTGGGTGAGGGGAACCTGGGAAGCGAACATGCTTCGTTTGATCCTCAGAGTCAGATATGAGTTCTTATTATTTGGTTCAGCCTTCTGTTTTTGCTTCTGGGCTGCAAATGGGGACTTGGGCCAGTAACTCTCTGTATGATTCCAGCGCATCGCCCCTGTGTCTGAATCTCAGCGTCCCCATCTACAACATGAAGTGGGGGACTGGATGGTCTCTGAAGAATGTTTCCACATTTTAGCTGCACTAAGAAAGAGGAATTATGCCATTAGCCCTTCCCTGCATGATCTGAGAGAGTCTGAGTTTCCCTCTTACGGAAGACAACCTCCTATTGGGACGATCTGGGTCTGGCCCGAGGAAGGAATTTCCCCTCCCATTTAGCTCTTCTGCTGGGGAATGTGGGCACTCTGTGCACATTTCTCGTTTGCTGATTCTGTTGATTAACATCAGCCCTGAGCCTCAGATATGAAAGAGACCAAATTGCTGCCTTAACTGTTTCCTCCATAAAGACAACTTCTCCTTGCCTCCCTCTCTTTGTCTCGCCTTCCCTCCCTCCTTCCTTTCCATTCACTGATACATATAACATTTATTAGCCACCTCTTGTATTTTTGTTTCTGTGCTGTTTTGCTGATTCCAAGATAAATAAGCACAGTCTAGTAGGAGGACGTAAACCTTTTCTTCCCCCATCTCTCTCTCCTTGTCCATCCCTCTCTTCATTTCTTTCTATTTTCCTTCCTCTAGCACACATTTTTCAAGGGGCCACACTGAGATTAGGGAGCTTCTTACCTTGAGGATAAAAACAGATAAGCAAGCTGAGAAGTGATGGTGTTGAAGCAATAGCAGAAGCCAAGACCAGTACCTGAGCAAGCTAGTACCAGGCAGGGCCAGTCCCAGGAGGAGGAATGTGCTGACCTGGTTGGTTGAGTGGGAGGTCAGGGGAGCTTCTCGGAAGAGGGGCAATCTGAGCTGCATTTTGAAGAAAGAGTAGGCATCTTCTAGGCCAACTGGGACAAGGCAGGGAAGATAGTGTTAGTCACTCAGTCGTGTCCAACTCTTTGCGACCTCGTGGACTGTAGCCTGCTAGGCTCTTCTGTCCATGGAATTCTCCAGGCAAGAATACTGGAGTGGGTACCCATTCCCTTCTCCAAGAGGTCTTTCTGACTCAGGGATTAAACCCAGGTCTCCTGCATCGCAGGCAGATTCTTTATCATCTGAGCCACCAGAGAAGCCCATTCCAAGCAGAAATAATATCTCCCAAGCCTTGGAGATGTGAAATAGCCTGATTTGTGTTGGGAACTGTGGGCCATTTGATGTGACTATGGCAGTCGTTGTAGGAATGAGAGAACAGGAAGTGATGCAAGCCCAGGTCCAGCCTGAATGTGTGCATCATGAACCAACATTTTCATTTAAACATGCTCTGCCATTGGAGCATGATCTGTATGCCTAGCAGGACACTGTTTCTAGCACAAACCTTTATGCTTTTTAAATAAGGATAATGTTTTTTTGCAGAGCATCTATGGAAACTTCTTTGCCCATCTATGAGTAGAAGTTCAAAGAAGAGAGTCTTGCTAGGATGGATAGATGCCTGACTTCCATTTACTCTATCCCTCTACTGACACAATCAGTCGCTGACTTCCTCTGAAAACCTCCTGTACCTCCTTTGACTGTGTGATAGCTTCACAGCCCAGCCACATAAACCTTAGCCCACATGTCACTGCCTTATTTTTCCTTACATTAACGAGTTTGTTGCCAGGAACATGTAATTACTATTAGGTAAATTAGGATGGAGTGAGAAGGCTGGCTTCCTGATACATTACTATTAAAATCAGATCAGAATTACTTCCAAGGTGGTCTTGCATGGAAGGTGGCTGGAATGAATTAGAGCATGACCTTGCCTGGAATAGGACCTTATCCAGGGCATGTTTGTACTTCCTTGATCCACAAGAGCTGCAGAGGGTGACAACCTATCTGTCCTTCAGTGGATGGTGATCAAAAAACTGGGTACATCCATACCATGAAATATCCACTCAGCAATAAAAAGGAACAATCCTTTGTTGCATGCAGTAACTTGGATGAATCTCCAGAGAACTATTCTGAGTGAAAAAAAGCCAATCCAAAAAGATTACATACTGTATGGTTCAACTTATAGAACATTCTTGCAATGACGTTATAGCAATGAAGACTGGATTAGTGGTGCTGGGGGTAAAAGATGGGAGGGAGGGGTTGTGAGGAAAGAGAAGGAATTGGGTGTAGTTAGAACAGGACAACATGAGGGATCCTTCTGGTGGTGGAAATGTTCTATATCTTGACTGTATCAGTTCAGTGTCTGGGTTGTGATTTTATTGTACCCTAGTTTTGCAAGATGTTATCATTGGAAAAAACTAAATAAGAATGCATTATTGTTCAGTCACTAAGTCATGTCCAACTCTTTGCGACCCCATGGACTGCAACACACCAGGCTTCCCTGTCCTTTACTACCTCCCAGAATTTGCTCAAACACATGTCCATTGAGTCGGTGACGCCATCCAACCATCTCATCCTCTGTTGCCCCCTTCTCCTCCTGCCCTCAAGTCAGCTCTTCACATCAGGTGGCCAAAGTATTCTTCAGCATCAGTCTTTCCAATGAATAGTTAGGGTTGATTTCCTTTAGGATTGACTGGTTTGATCTCCTTGTAGCCCAAGGGACTCAAGAGTCTTCTCCAGCACCATGATTCGAAAGCATCAATTCTTTGGCACTCAGCTTTCTTTATGGTCCCATTCTCACATCCGTACATGACTACAGGAAAAAGCACAGCTTTGACTGGGATCCCTTTAATACTCTTACAACTGCATGTGAATCTGCAGCTATCTCAAATTGAAAGCTTAATTGCAAAAATAAATGCTGTCACAAATATAATTGTTTCCGTTTATTGATAACAAAATGCCTTATCCCAGTGCTAGGGATTTAGATACATACATCACCTTAAACTTCACAACAGAGCTACACAGTGGGTGTTCTCAGCCCATGTGAAGGACAAGGAGAAACTGAAGCTCGCAGTGGAGAAGTCACTGATGTGGAGGCAGTATGACCTCGTGGGAGTGGAATGACCTCTACGAAGGGGGCATGCACAGCCCGGTCGAGCACCCATTGGGCCTCCAGATGAGGAATGTCTGTTCCCTACCCCCCACCCTCCACCCTTCTATGCTCGTTGGTATTTGCTATACTGACTCTGGGGTTTGGCAGGTAAACACACCTGTTGACAAAATCAGATCACACAAAACCATCCTTGGGTACCTGGAGCTATGCTGAGCGGTGTAGCTGTGAGTGATTCAGGGACCAAATTATCCATGTGCTGTGAGTGAACCGATTAAGGTACCCCTGAGAATGCTTAGCTCTGCTGACTTTGAGAGGCAGGAACCTCTTTCCTGGGATGCTGAGGTTTGCTAGTATTTATTCCCATTTTACAGAGGGCAAAACTGAGGAATGGTAAAGTTAGGCATTTTGTTCAGGATGCGTGGGAAAGAGGTGGCTGTGTTTCCCTTTCCATCACTTGGAATCCTACTCGTATTACTTTCCTGGGGCTGCAGAAACAAATTACTGCAAACTGGGTAGCTGAGACAAAAGCCATTTGCTCTCTCACGGTCTGGGGTCCAGGAGCCTGAGATCAAGATGTCAAGCAGGGTTGGCTCCTTAGGGAGAAACTCCAAGGGAGAATCCGTTCCATGCCCCTCTCCTAACCTTCGGTGGCTCCGGCAGTCCTTGGCATTTCTTGGCTTCTAGAAGCATCAGTCCCCTGTCTACCCCTGTTTTCACAGCACCATTTCCTCTGTGTGTCTTTCCTTTCCTGTTTCTTGTAAAGACACTTGACATGGGATTTTTATGCACCCCACCCCACCCCCAATCCAGGATGGTCCCATCACAATTAGGTCACATGCTAAGGTTCTGAGTAGACATGTCTTGGAGGGGAGACAGCATTCAGCCCACTGCATGGCTACTGGCCCCACCCTGACCAGCGCCATTCTGAGGACGTGCACATGGATTCTGTCTTCATCTTGGCTTTAGAACAGCTTCAAGGGCCAGAGGAGGCCGTGCTGGTTCCAGCCGAGAGGCGAGGGAAGATGCTGCAGGCCGGCTCTCTCACTCTCTCTTGAGCTGTCAGGCTGTTGATTCTTTAATAAAACACTCGGGAGGAGAAGCGTTAGGACGGGAAGAGCTCTCTGGGCACCTCGGCGTGGGACTTTCCAAAATCAAAGAGGCCCAAGGAGTGTGGCTGTCACCTGCCTGGCTTTCATTACGTGGTAACCTTTCAGCCCAGGCTCCAGGCAGTGGGCAGGAATTTGACTCGAGAGATTGTGCCTTCCACAGCTGGATACAACCCGGTGGGGGTGGGGAGGCAGGTGGGACTTTGGGGGCGGTGTGTGTCTGGTGGTTGAGGAAAACGGAGGAGGCACTGAGGATGCTGAGGGGGTGGTCTTCCCGGGCAGCTCAGCCACACTGCTGCAGTGTCTCCGCCTCTCTGCCTGCCCCTGCCCCCACCCCGCTCTGTTTTCTTTCTTTAGGACCACATCCCTGTTCCTTACCAGCCGGACTCCAGCAGCAACCCCTCATCCACGACGTCCTCCACGCCCTCCTCGCCAGCGCCCCCACTCCCGCCCAGCGCCACGCCGCCTTCTCCCCTACACCCTTCTCCGCAGTGCGCAAGGCAGCAGAAGAATTTCAACCTGCCAGGTACCTTCCGCGCGTGGGAGGTCGCGGGGTGAGGAGTCGGGTTCGTGCCAGAGCCGGGCCCAGGCCAGTCCACGTGAAAGGTGATGGGTTGGAAGCATATGGATTAAGTCTTACCATAGGCAGGGCGACTACTCCATAGTCCCTTATGTGATCTCTAGAGCAGCCACGAGGTAAGTAGGATTGGTTCCATTTTACAGATGAGAAAATCGAGGCTCAGAAGGTAAGGGGACTCTCAGAGACTCTTGTCTTTTGGAAAGCAGCAGCTCAGGGTCTCCACCTAGGTCTGAGTCACAGGGGGGCCATCTTCTCTGGAGCTGGATGTTGCCTTAAGTGTGAAATCAGGGGACTTCCCTGGTGGGCTGGTGGGTAAGACTCCATACTCCAAATGCAAGGAGTCTGGGTTCAAACCCTGGTCAGGGAACTGGATCCCACATGCTGCAACTAAATGTTCGCACACTGAAAGCTAAAGATCCCACATGCCCCAGTGAAGATTGAAGATCTAAGAAGAACTCAGACCAAGTGCTGCCAAAATAAAAAAAGCTAAATCAGTTGAAACTGGCAACTGGATCCTGTGCCAAGGATCTCAGGGCCCATACAGCTGAGCATGGCTACATTCTGAGGCTTATGCAGACATCAAGACAGGGCTCCAAAAGAGTGAGCTGGCATCCAGGAGTCAATAGCCAGCTCTCTCATCATGTCCCTGCCCTGTGACCTCTGGCTTCAGTTTTCACACCTCTGAAAGGATGCAGGTGGACAAGAGGACCCCAAAGGGTCTTCTAGCTCACAAACTCCAGGGCACTCCGCCACTGACCTGAGACTGTGGGCTGGGCTGTGAGACAATGGAGAAGCCCTCACGTGGTGTTCTGGCTTCTTGGATTTACAAAAGGGATCTTTCTCAGCTCTCAGGCGAGACAGACCTAAGTGTCTTCCCACCCGTTCCGGGGCTCAGCCCAGCCCACCTCCTGTTCTCCGATCGCCAGGACACTTCCAGCTCAGCCATATTTGTAGCACCATAGCTGACTTCAAGACGGAGGCTGGCGGGATGAGGTCTGGTTTGACGAGTTGGGACCAAAGTCTAGCTCTATGTTGTTCAATATGGTACAGACTAGTCACACATGCCTATTTAAGTTTAAATGAATTAAAATTAATTATAATTAAAATTTTAATTCCTTGGTCATGCTTGCCACATTCCAAGTGCTTGAGAGCCACTTGTGGCTAGTGGCCCCATGTTGGCCAGCACAGGTGTAGACCGTTTCCCACCATCGCAGGAAGTTCCACTGAACAGTGCTGGTCTAGAGGTTTGGTTTCCTCTTGAGCCAGAGAGCTTCCCACATCGGGGAAAGGAAAAAACCCCAGGTCCTCAGCCACAGGTCACACCTCCAAGCCTACCCAGCCACGAGAGAATATCTGGGAAACAGGTGAAGACCCAGGCCCACGTTTGGGTGACACTCAGATACATCCACCCGTTGAGCATAAGCTGCTCATGTCACCTGTCTACACTGCTTTGATCTGGGCTGTGTCCGAAGGGATAGAGTGCATCTTAAATACTTGCGTCATGGGGATTTTTTTTACTAAGTCCAAGCCCAAGGCAGCCTCACACCTGTGGTGTGAGGGCTTCTCACCTGGCAGCCAAAAAGGACCCTAACGGGAGTCATCAGCTGAAATCCATCTCAGTAAGTGCCCCCGAGTCAACCAGGCAATAGTGCCCAGCGATTCCATAGACCAAGGGTTCCCACCAGCAGCCCCAGCCATTTCTACTTCCCTGGAAGGAGGTGAATGTGAAAAAGGCCCTTTAACCCCCGTCCCCCAATCTCAGGAGGGAAGAGTCTGGATGCTTTCCTAGAGCTGTTCCACCCCTCACACAAAATATTCACTTCAGGGCTATTTTCCCTTGTAACCATTTGCTGCTTGCTTATAGGCAGGGAGCTGGCAAAGGACCTCTTAAGGGGGAACCGTGCATCAAAGCGCCAGCACTCTTTCATCTCTAGAAGACTCTGCTGGCATCTTTAGACACGATCCCTGACTCACCAGGAGTGATCCCTGTTTCCTTCATCCCTTCAGGCAGAGCCCCAGGAAGGGGTCTTAACCAAATTACTATGCTAGCCTGCCAGTGGGTCTGCACCTACCCCATGGCAGGTCCCAACAGTGCCCTGACCCTCTTTGGGGAGTGGACTCATGGGTCCTCTGGGTGAAGGCGCTTTAAAACAGCAGTTAAAAGAGTGTGAGCTCTGGAACTAGGCTGCTTGTTCCTACTAGGCTTCTCAAATCCCACCTCCATCACTTAATATCTATGTACTGTTGAGCAAACTACTGACCTCTCTGTGCCTCTGTTTCCGCATCTGTACAATGGGGATAAAATAGTACCTACTTTGTAGAACCCTCAAAGGGCTCAACATTACCATGCATGTGCAAAGCTTAGCAGAGCACCTGTCTCTCACCAAAGGTGAGCTACTTTCATCATTATTAGATTAAACCCAGGATTAGCAAATTAGCGTGGCTCCCACTGCTAAGTAATATGCCCTAAACAGAATTGTGGAAATAAAGATGAGGTCCCCAGATACCCTGAAATTGGGAGTAGGAATCAAATTAAACTTTTAGGGGATGTGATTTGGCATTGTCAGAGTTTCAAATATACATTCCCTGGGCCAGCAGTATCACTTCTAAGAATTTATACACAGAAGTGTTTGCACAGGGATCTATAACGATTTTTTTTGGCAGCAGTGAAAAATCTGGACTCAACCCAAATACCCATCAGGAGGGGAGTGTTTGAATACACTGTAATATATCTGTGTAACCAAACACTCAGCCGCCCTTGGAAAGAATGGAGTAGCTCTTTGTAAATATCCCGGACGTGGAAGAAATCCATAATATCTTTTAAGTGGAAAATAAGTGATTTGCAAAAGCACTGGTATAATAACATCCTATTTGTTGTAAAATGATTTAATGTATTTGTATGTATATATTTATACGTGTGTGTGTGTATATTTGTATATGCAGACAAATGTCTGCAGGACTTTATGGCAGGTGTTCTTTCTAAGAAGAGGAATTTTATTTTATGCACTTCTGTAGTGTATATAATAGCAAGAAACATGCATCCGTTTTATAATTGAATAATAACAATAAAATGCAGTGTTGACATAAAAAACAAAATAGGACCCTCTAGAAGGACAGCCAGACCTTCCCCCCACACCCCGCACCCCCCCCTCCCTCCACCTGCCTTAGGCAGTTTTGGCAAAATTCATCCAGGGTGACAGCATTTATTCTGTTTACACAAGGCCCTGGTCACCTGTTACATACTCCAGACTGTGAGTCTCTGTTGATGGAAAAGGAGCTTTGGCTCTGGTTTCCTGCAGATGTTGAGTTTTCTGAAGACAATTCAAGCTAATACCTAGGCATAACAATGCCCCTGGCACTGGTTACTCTAGAACATTCTTTTTGGAAAGAGGCCCTGTGGTTAACAGGCATTTGGCTCAACTGTTAACCTCAGGGCACGTGAAGGACACCCTTCACAGAATCTGGGATTGTGCTTTGCTGGTTTTTGCCACTTGTTCTTTGCCACTCCCTTCAGAATCCTGGTGCCATGTTGGGCATGGCACAGTGAAGGGTGGAGGGCTTCGTTTGGATCCCAGATTTGCCCTCTTCCACCTCTGTGGCCTTGAATATGGCACTGACCCTGTTTAGGCCTCAGTTTCTCATCTGTAAAATGGGTCTGAACTGCTAGTTTGTATGACATTTGCTGTGGGAAGGTACATGAAGGGGCTTTGTAAGGGACTGTTGTATGGGTTCCTCAGACTGAAGTGTTCACACGCCTTCTTCCTTTGGAGTAACCTGGTGCCATGTTTAGTGTCTCCTCCATCGAAAGTCAGCTCCATGACACTAGGGAGCCTGTCTGCTTCACCTGCCCCTCTACTGCCAAAGACCAGCCCAGTGTCGACTGCTGAAGGCACTAATTAAATGCTTGCTGAGTGAATAAATGAGTGAACAAGTGACTTGAGACTCCCAGAACTGCATGCTCTTTTTCTTTAAACTGTCTCTGGCCCTGCATTCCATCCGTTCATTTCTTTAATGGATGTTTTCTGAGCATCCACTATATACCAGGTACTGTTCAAGGCACTGGGTAAGGAGCAAGGGACACATCAGATGTGCCCTGTATGAGCTGACTGTTGCCACTGTAACAAATTGCCATGAGCTTAGTGGCTCAAAGGAGCAGAAGTTTATAACTCTACAGTCAAGGAGTCAGAAGTCCAAAATCAGTTTCACTGGGCTCAATATCAAGATGTCTGCAGAGCTGTTTCCTTTAGGAGGTTCTAGGAAAGAATCCATTCCCTTGCCTTTTCCCAGCTTCTCAAGGGCCGCCTGCGTGCCTTTGCTCATGGCCCTACATCTGTCCAACCTCTGCTTCCATTATCACATCTCCTCTGATCCTCTGACTTGGATCCTCCGCCTCCCTCTCATAAGGACCCTTGTGATTATACTCAAGTTTCACCCAGAGAATCCAGGATAATCCCCTCATCTCAGGATCCTCAATTTAAACATATGCAAAGTCCCCCTGGTCATGTAAGGTAACATATTCCCGGGTTCCTGGAACTAGGATATGGACGTCTTGGGAATGGAGTTGGGAGAAAAGGGCCTTATTCTGCCTGTCACAGTCTCTGCCCTCATTGAGTTTATAGCTTAGTGGAAGAGACAGGTGTTAGCCTAGCAAACAGACACACGAAAATAGGATTATAAATTGTGGTAAGTGCTGTGAGAAGAGAACAGTGCTACGAGCAAGTCAAGAAGAGAACAAGTTTAGGCTGAAACATCAGAAGCAGCTGAAGGCAGGAGGGGAGTTGTTCAGGCAGACAGAGGGGAGCACATGCAAAGGCCCTGTTACCAGAAAGAGCTGGAAACATGTGACTGATGGCTTGGAGTGCCCATGACCAAGGCACCAGGCAAGGATCAGAGCTGCAGGGCTGAGGCCTGGTGGGGCCTTGCAGGGATGCATGGTTTAGGCAGGGGATGATTTGATCTTTCCACCTTCTAGATCCTTTCTTTCAGATGGCCACTGAGGCTGCTCTCTGAAGAGTCCATAGGGAGGGAATGGGGGCTTGAGAGTGGAAGAGGCTTCAAAGTAGCCTGTTTGTCTCTCTGACCTCTGGTCACCTGCAACCTCTCAGTTCCCAAACCCTCTTTGATACCAGACAGCCAGGAGCCACTCAGAGTCATCAGCTGCCCCTCTGACCCGCTTCTCTCTGGTGTCCGTCATCAGCAAGAACAGGCGGGGCTCACAGCACCCTTTCCCTCCTCCTCTGGCCGAGACTCTCTCCATTTCAGTCATCAGGAACGGGCTGTCCTCAGGCCATGGAGGTCCTGGAAGGAGTCAGAGGCTGTGTGTGGAGGCATTTGCTGGGTGTCCCATTGCTGGACACCTGTCCCTTCTCAGAGTGACACCCATTCTCCATCACCAGCCCCACCTCCTTAAAAGAATGTTTAACTGCCAGCTAACCTTTTCTGCAGACACTGAATCCCCAGTTCCAGTTGGGGAGGGAAGAGATCAGCTAAGTCTCTTGAGAATCCCAGGAAGTTTTTCTTTTTTAATTTTAGCTCCTGTTGACTAATAAAATGTCCGAATGCAATGAAAAAAACCTAAGTTATCTAATGGAAGAAGGGTCCCTGACATCATGGACGTCAGATTTCTTTTAAAGCTGTGTTCTGTAACCTTGAACGAGTTGCTGCCCAAACTAGGTACTTTGTTTTCCAGAATCAAAAAATGCATCCATTTGGATTCCAGCTAGATTCAATATTTGGGGGATTGCTGTTCTAAAAGAGACTTGAGTAATTCAACAAACATGAGCAGCTCACTCACTGGGTGCAAGGCACCAAGCCAGGTGCTTGGATCCTGAATACCAGAACTTGCTGTCCATTCTGGTACAGGGGTGAGGTTTATAAGCCAGTTCCACCCTCAGGGCCAGCTCATGACTGAGTTCTTTGAAACTCTCTGTTTATGAATTATAAAGCATCCTTGTCTGTTAGTTAAGAGAACTTAGAAAGATACCAGCTTTTGCATCGCCGTTAACCTTGGTTCTGCCTCATCCCTGCACTCTTATCTCATGTAATGATGAGCTCAGCCCCACGTAGGAGAGATTATTATTGGTCCCCATTTCACATATCTGGAAACTGAGACTTGGGGAATGATGCCCAAACATTCACAGGCAATCAAAGGAGGAACACAGACTCAACCCTACAGGATCAGCTTCTGGACTCCAGGTTTGGAGCCACTGTACTAATTCTTGGTGAGCCAGCGTGTCCCTGAATGGATAAAACTGTTTCTGGAAGTGTATTCACCAGCTCAGACTCATATCTGATCCCATCCCTGCTCACCGCCTTTGCTTGAGGATATAAAACTTTCTGTGACCTGTCCCCTGCCCCTGACATCCCTCTTACCCCCTGATCCAGGTTCTCCACCCCGCTGGAACAGCGGTAACACTGGAAACCATGGGGATGTCTGGAACAACTGGCCTCCAGTGAACAGACGGGAAGTAAAATGAATTGTAGGAAAATCGGCAGTGAATCTGAGGAATTTTCTTTTATATTATCTTTCCTTAGATAGGGAAATTAATTTGTGCCTTTGCTAGGCAGAATAATGGCCTGATCCTGGGTCCTGTGAATACGTTACTTTACACAGCTAAAGGAACTTTGCAGCTGTTACTGAATTAAGGATCTTGAAGTGGAAAGATTACCCTGGATTGTCTGGGTGGATTCTAAATGCAGTCATGAGAATCTTTTATAAGAGGGAGACAAGGCGATCAAAGACAGTAGAAGGCAACATCAGGATGGAAGCAGCGACTGGGGTGATGGAGGTGTGAGCCAAGAAATGGAGGTAGATTCTCCAGCTGGAAAAGGCAAGGAGAAAGTTCTCCTCTGGAGCCTCCAGAGAGAACAAGCCGCTCATGACTGTTTTCAGGCTTCTGACCTTCAGAACTCTAACAGGATAAATTTGTGTTAAGCCATCCAATTTATGATAATTTGTTACAGCAGCAATAAGAAAACCAATACAATGCTCAGTGCAGAAAATTAGAAAAACATGGGAGACACATAGAGGAGACACATAGACCAGTGCTTCATCCAGTGCTCCTGGCCCCATTCCCAGCTTCTGGCAGTCCCAAATCCAATCTCTGTTTCTGTGAGTTTGATTTTTTTTTTTTTAGATTCTGCATATAAGTGAGATTGTACTGTTTATCTTTCTCCATCTGACTTATTTTACTTAGCATGGTACCCTCAAGGTCCATCCCTTTTGTCACAAACAGCAATGGCAAGATTTCATTCTTTACCATGGCTGAATAGTATTCAATTGTGTATGTATGTGTGTGTGTGTATATGTATATATACACATATTTTCTTTATCCATTTGTCTATCGATGGGCACTTAGGTTATTTCCACACCTTTGGATGCTGATTTCTTTTCCTTCAGATATATACCCAGAGGTGCAATTGCTGGCATCTGGTAGTTCTAATTTTTACTTTTTTAGGAGCTGCCTAATGTTTTCCACAGTGGCTGCACCAATTTACATTCCCACCAGGGGTGCACAAGGGTTTCCTTTTCTTTACATCTTTACCAATATTTGTTATTTCTTGTCCTTTTTGGTAATAGGCATCCTAACTGTGAGGTGATAGGTTATTGTGGTCATAAAGGATTTTCTTAAGCCGCTATAACCACTCTGCCAGAAGGGAGAAAATTAATGTGTTAGATTATGGGTTTAGAGACTTCTCTCTACGTGTATGTCTTTATGCGTTTAACAAAGATGAGATTGTGCTCAGGATGGCCCTCTGAAGTGGGGTGCTCTGTCTTCAGGGAGTTTCAATGAAAGGGTTGGCTTGAATGTTTCTGGGTTCTTTACACATGTTCTCAGTTCCTTAGAATTTGGGGTGTCTGCAGAAGTCTGGAAACTGTCAGGGGTGGGCAGAGGACCGCAGGGTGGCTACAGGAGTCCCATTTGTTACCTGAAGGGCCAGCTCCGGGGCGGCACTCACTGTGGTATTTTCTGTCTTTTGCAAGCATCCCACTACTACAAATACAGGCAGCAGTTCATCTTCCCAGGTGAGTTTCCTGTGACCTCAGTTTCTTCCAAGCGAGCCCACCAAGGCGTGGCAGCTGCTGTGAGGGGACAGAGGCGAATGTTGCCGGTGTGGACGAGCCCAAAGAAGATCAGGTGGAACCATCCAGACCACAGGCTAGCTACTGGATGTGGAGGCAGGGGTAAAAAGGGTGGGGAGTCCAAGGACTCAGTGGCACCAATGAGGTCCCAAAGCACAAATGGAAAGGCCTGAGTGGGTGGTCTGCAGTGCAAGGATGGGCAAGGGTGGGGAGGGGTCCAGAACCCCGTGGTGGGGGAGAGATGGTCAAAGGGGCTGGAATCGGGCATGGGAGACATGAAACCAAGAGGCCTCATCATCCCAAAGGGGACTCAGGAGTGAGGAGAACCCAGAGATGATGCTTCAGTGGGTGCTTCGGGCCAGAGGCTTGGGGCCTCCGGAAACCCCATAGGTGCCAATGGGGAGTTTTGTTCAGGATGTCATCTTGACTACTCATGCATCTTAGCAGGTAAATTCAAGTGGCCAGGGAAAGGAGAGAGGGGATTGGGCAGCCAGGGACTCCTGATCTGGTGAGAAGCTTCCAGCCACCGGCATCTTCCAGGAATCAGGCTTTTGGGGGAGCTTGTGGACCCCTCGTCTGGTTTCTGACTGTCCAATCTTTGGCTCTCAGATGTGGTGCCGGTGCCGGAGACACCGACGCGGGCGCCCCAGGTCATCCTGCATCCAGTGACCTCGAATCCAATGTAAGTGGGGTAGAGACCTCTCCCCCTGCCTTGGCCTTTCAGTTTGCTCAGGACCCCTGTCTTCTTTCTTCCTCTTCCTGGAATTGATGGGGTGGGAGGCAGGGTGGGGGGAAGCATGAGGGGGCCACAGAGACAAGCGAATAACTTGGTCAAAGAGAGGGAGAATGAGACAGCCCAGGCTGAGAGGGACATTGCTAGTCCCTGTGAGTCACTTCTGCCGTGTGTCTCTGGTCTTGCCAATCAGGTGTGACTTCAGGGGCCGGACCATTTCCTTCAGACCCCTAGACCCTCCTGTGATCAGAAAGACAACTTCTCTCAGGCAATAGCTAAACCTTAATGGAAGGGTAGTTATTCTACATCATTATCCCCTGCTTAAAAAGGAAAATTTAGGTTTATACTAGAGATCAGTAACTTACAGCCAATGGGACAGACCCATGTTTTTGTAAATAAAGTTTTATGGGAACACTGCCATGCCCATTTATTCAAAACATGCTATCTATGGCAGCATTTGGACTACAACATCAGAGATGAGTCGTTCCAACAGTGACCACTGTGTGGCCAGTAGACCCTCAAATATTTACTATCTGGCCCAGCAAGTTTGCCGATCCCTGGTTTCTAATATTACAAAAATAAAATGAGCTTATTTTGTGAAATTTAAACTATTCTATTAAAAAAGAAAAAGAATAATTTATAATTGCACCACTCTTAGAAGTATGCTCTATTCATATTTTACATACTTGTGATCTAAACCGTGTGTGATTTCCATCCTTCTCTGTTCATCCCTTAATGCTATAACATCATGTTTTTCATACTATTCCAGACTCTTCATACGCATTGATTTTAAAATACCATATTGATTTGGAATGATTTCCTTAACCGTTTCTCTACTGCTGGATTTTACATCTTCCCATATTTCACTGTTATAAACAGTTCTGCAATGAACATCTTTGTGTGTGATGTCTTTAGCATCCTTAGAATACAAGCCCTCTTTCTAGGCGCTCTATTGCTCATGCAGCCAAAGTGAAATCACCTTCCATAACTTCTTTGGTTATGACCCAAGTCTAGGGCATGCTAAGGACCCAATTTTGGTTTGACATCTTTCCAAACTCACATTTTTGCCTACCTGGTTTTTCTTCTGGCTCCCCCAGCTGCTCCATCCTTTCTGACCCATGTTACCAACTTTGTTAAAGACCCAAATGGTACATCTCTGAGATCCAAGGAGCAGCAGTTTGCTGGGGGATGTTGTGCTGACATCTAGCTCCAGATCGTTTCTCTGCAGCACATAAACCAGTTCCACAATTTGTGCAAGATGAACTCCAGGTTATTAACTGAGAGTCAGGGAGTGCTAGTGAAAAACGGAGTCAATAAGTGCCCACGATCTGCTTAAATGTGTGTGGAGTGATGGGAACTGACTCTTTGCAGCAGGGAAATCATTTAATAGCCCCGGCTGCTGTAATCACGCCTTAATGCAAGCCAGGAGGGCAGCCCGTTCTGTTGGACGTGAGGAGGGACTCCAGCTGCATTGTTCCACCTCCCCCGGGGCATCAGATTTCCAGCGTGCAGTTTCTGCCTTTCAAAGCTGTACTATAAATTATTGGTTAATAGGGCGGCAGATGCTACTTCTTTCTTCTTCTTTGAGCTCTTACAATCTTTCAGCCTCCCTCTCACCAGGAGTCTCTCCAGCAAGTGGATTGACTCTGTCTGCAGGGTTGGCAGCTTCCTGGTGAGGTCTGAGAGTCAGGATAGGGGAGCCCCCATCAAATAAGAAGATGGGTTGGGGGAATCTGCTAAGCTTCCACTGGGGAAATAGGAAGGGGCCATGATGTCCATTTTGATCCTTTTCTCCCACCAGTTTCAGTTCACTCTGGAAACATCCTCTACCTTAAAAACCCACTTCCCCCACCAAATTCTTTAACACACACTGTGCCTTGCATTTCCCTCACGTATTGTGTGCTCCAACAGGCCCACAAATCCCCTGCATGTGCACCCAACTCACACGCACACAGAACAACCCCTGCACAGAGCACGTCCCATGACACCCACACAGCCCTCAGGGGACACTCAGCACTCGCGGTGTGTGTGCCCCCAGCTCCTATACCCGGCTTGTTCCTGTGCTCAGAACACAAATGCAGCTCAGGAGCTCGAGAGTGCGTGGGATACACACACACGTGCTCACTGTCACACGCACACCTGTGTCTTCCAGTCCAACGCAATCTGTCTCCTCCTCCTCGTTCTCACCCGCCCATCTCCATGGAACGTGATTGGCAAGGTCCAACTCAAAGCACTGCAAGCTTTCAAATTCATCCAGTAATCCTCTCTCTTGGGCATTTCCATCACTATCCATTTATTCAGTTCACACCTAACTTTTGACCCTTGTTACTCATAGCCTTTCTACACTAGTAATATAAATATTCCTTAAGGTCAGGAAGCCATGTCATTTTCAATGCTGTATCCCTCTAAGGGTCTGGCACTGTTCCTGACTCTTAATTCTAATCAAATGGGTGAATGAATGAATGAATGAATCCTTCCAAAGAATCCTTCCAAAAGATTCAGAACTGTAGAGATCTGATTAATTCTTTCCTAAGGAACACCTAGAGCTCTAGGGATTCTGCCATCCATGGCACTTTATAAGGAATTTATAAGGCCAATTTGTACAGAAATTGCTAGATTAGGGGAAACCAACAAAGAAAAATGAGCCCTGAGCAGACCAGAAAGTCCATTTAAAACAATGTCCTTGTGCACCTCTCCTTGGTGGCGAGGTTATGGATTATTTTAGACACAAGCAGTGAAGGGAAATTTGAGAAAAAGGCTTAATGGAGAGCTTCACATTTTAAGACGTTTCATACATGGATCAAGTCAATGCATGTACCCATCATTTCACCCTAGGGTCACGTTTATTTTTCTTTCTTTAAAGCTTGGAAGGAAATCCATTACTTCAAATTGAAGTGGAGCCAACCTCGGAGGTGAGAACCAGAGAGCGATGAAGCAAATGAAGCAGCTTTTTCCAGGGGCTGCCCACTTGGCAAAGGCGATTGATGTCTTTGATGACACACAGGGCTTGGGGTGGACTGGGGGTACAGTGCCCTGCTTGATGGACGACTAACGAGCAAGGGGCCCCTCCTGGTGCCAAGTCTAATGGGCCGTTAACATGGTGTGCATCACGGTAAAGCTAGTTGTGCAGAAGTTGGCAGGTGATCTGCATTTTTAGTTGAAAATTCAGCTCAGAGCCAGTGAGTACCAAGGGGGATGTGCCCCACTACTTTCTGAAGAATATGTGAGAGGAGGGGACTAGGGCCTCAGGGTCTCGGGCTTAGTGTGGTGTTAAGAATGTTCTGGGGCCTCTTCCCACCTGCCAGAACACCTCAAGGAATAAACAAAGTCTTTGGAGTGAGAACCAGAGCCCTGACTCCTCGACTCTGCTGGTGGGTCTTGAACTGAGGGGAACAGAGTCAGGATCCCCAAAGCAAATCGTGTCCTTTTCTGGAATGATCACAGTAGCTGGAAAGTGACCTTGAAAGAAGCTGTATTTCCCATGTCATTTCTCCTGAACATGCCTTTGGGAGTAGCTTGCTCAGGTTTGGGGTTTAGAGAGACTGCACCCGGCCAAGGGGCCTCCTTCTGTGGCCGTCTTGTCAGGCTCCAAGCCCATGAAAATCACCACCACCTCCTCTCCCCGCTCCCCCCCCCCGCCCCACCACTGGGCTCAGGCCACTGCTGCTTGCACATTCCAGCTGAAGAAGCCAAGGCGCCAGGCCTCAGGTGTCCCCAGACACCACGCTGGGAAGGTGGGTCCCTAGGCCTGGAGTTTCTAACTGTTGCAGTGGTCACGTCTAAGTGTGCCTGAGTCATGTGGGCGTGCAGTGAAAATGCAGAGTCCTGGCTCTGGCCTGTGGATTTTCTGATTCAGAAAATCTGGCTGGGGCCCACGAGTCTGTATTTTTTTTTCAGCCATCCTGGCAGCTGTTTCATACAGGCAGTCAGGTCTGTGCAAAGAACTCAAGAGATCTTTGCCTCATGGAAAACCTCACACCACCCCCAGGGGTAGATGTCATTAGCCCCACTTTATGATAAGTCAAGGAATGCCCAGAGGAGTGAAGCTCCTTGCCCAAGGTCACACAGTGGCCAGATTCCAGCTCATCTGGTCTGACTGTTAAGCCCATTCTGTCAACCTCTCACTCTTCTATCTCCTGCCTTCCCAACTGAACAGGATCCCCAGGCCTCCAGCCTATACCGAGTACCTCTGACATCTCCTGGTTTCTGCCTCATCAATTCAAATTCTTCCAAGGGAACGAAGGCCCTCTCTGTTAAGGACTGTCACATGTTATATGCAGGTGTATAGGGTGTCTGTATTTCAGCCTATTGTCTTTCTTACTCCCACATAAATAACCAGACAAGTCAGAACATCATGGTCTAGTAGGAGGGCATCAAATATTAGGAGTCGAGAGACCTGAATCTTAACCCTTGCTCTGCCTGTCGGCCTGACCAGAGAGCTAGGCACTTCCCACAGGGACCAACCATCCCTGCCTGCCGGTTTCCCAAGTGTGAGACTGTCAGCTCCCAAAGGGGCAAAGTCCTGGGAAACCAGGATAGGTGGTCCCTGCCCCCCAGCATTTCTTCTCTCTGAGCTTCAGTTTCATGATCTCCCTTTCAGCTCCTTCACTTCAGCACAGTGATAGACAGGAGGTACTTGGGCAAATAGAGAGACACGTGTGCACTGGCCAAAAACACACAGTGGGAACCTGGTGGGCAGGCGGGATGCTGACGGGAGCTGACCCCTCTCCCTCTCTGGCCGTAGAATGAGGAGGGCCACGATGAGGCCGAGGAGTCCGAGGATGATTTTGAGGAGATGAACCTGTCCCTCCTCTCGGCCCGGAGCTTCCCTCGCAAGGCCAGCCAGACCAGCATCTTCCTCCAGGAGTGGGACATCCCCTTCGAGCAGCTGGAAATCGGCGAGCTCATCGGGAAGGGCCGCTTCGGGCAGGTGTACCACGGCCGCTGGCATGGCGAGGTGGCCATCCGGCTGATCGACATCGAGAGGGACAACGAGGAGCAGCTCAAGGCCTTCAAGCGGGAGGTGATGGCCTACAGGCAGACACGGCATGAGAACGTGGTACTGTTCATGGGCGCCTGCATGAGCCCGCCACACCTGGCCATCATCACCAGGTCAGTCCCGCCCGGGTTCCCCACTGTCATATTCATTCCCAAAGCTCTGCTTCCGGCAGCATTGAGCAGTGGGGGTTCTGGTAGATTCAACATTCTGGTGAATAGAGAGTCTGGCTTTACCAATCACATCTATGGTTTGAAGCTTTGAGATTCCAGAAAATGCTATTCGTGTTGCAACTCTGGTTGAGAAGTTCTGTGGAGAGAGCTCCACGTGGGAAGTCAGAAAAGCTGGTATTGAACCCCCTTGTGCTCCACATTTGTGAAAAAGCATCTTTGAGACTCACTTTCTCCAAATGTAATTGAGTGGATTAGACTAGCTTGGGTGTCAGCAAACTTTTCCTGTAAAGGGCCCAATAGTGTTTTTGGCCTTGCAGGCCGTAAGGTTTCTGCAGCAACAGCTCATATCTGCTACTGTAGTGTGAAAGCAACCTCAGGTAAACTATAAGTGGATGTCTGTGGCTGGGTGCCAATAAAACTTTGTTAACACAACCAGGCGATGGGCTGGGTTTGACCTACAGACCCTAGTTTGTTGAACCCAGACTAACATTCTGATGACTGATTCTGGCTTTCATTAAAACAGCAGCGCACATTTGTAGGGCTCACTGTTGTTCTTTTAAATATTCAGGATCCATGGTTGATAGCTGTACAAAAGGGGTGGTTAACAGAGAAGTGACATTAGGAGCATATCAGACATTGGGAACTTTTTTGGACTTGCTGTCTCTAACCTCCCACAGTGATGTAGGCATTGGGAAAAATAACTGTAGATTCAGTTGAGCAGTTGTGGAACAATCTTTTGATGTGTTTTTAAGCTGGGGCCTTTGCTCTCCTATCACTTAGGATTAGCCACAGCACCAGTGTTCTTGGTGTGGCCTATGATGCCAAGGGCCCATTAGGAATCTTCTCATTCTTAATCTCAACACAAGCAATAAGATCCCAAGTACACAAGCCTTGCATCTTGGTAAGTGCTATGGTGGGAGCTGTGGGCTCAGGGAAGAGCTGGTATGTCTTTGATCTATTCCCTTGTGATCCATACAAACCCTCTTTGAGTCCACTTGTAAGACCTGGGTGATGGGTAGAGGCTGTGTTATCATCTGTCACCATCGATTATGCAGCTGGTGGGTTGACTGGAACTTGTGTGTCAAATGGTAAGTGCTTGCAAAGGATTAGAGATCTAAGGATGGCTCTTCAACCCTTCTTTAAACCAAGGAAGAAATGGTCAGCTCTCACTTCTACACAGGACCAGAAGTGGCTATCAGATAATCAGCCAGATCATATTCGGGGCTGAGCTGCTCTGAGTAGAGGAGTGGATCAGTAAGTTTTTCTGAGTAACAAACACCCCCAAACTTCACAGTTTCTCACTAGTCTGTACATAGTTCTTCTGGGCTAAGCCAGGCTCAGTGGCTGGGGTCTTGGATGTGTCTGTGGTCTGCTGGCAGGTCAGGTTGAGGGCTGGTCAGTCTCGAATGCCTTCACTCACATGAGTGATGGTTGGACATGTGTCTAATGGTTGGCAGATTGTCAGCTGGGGTTCCTCAGTTCTTCTACATGTGGCCTCTCACCCCACAACAGGCCAGCTTGGGCTCCTTCCCATGGTGGTCTCAGAGTTCCAAGCGCAGCAAGACAGCAAGAGGTCAAACCCTGATGCACAGAGGCATTCACATCTCTGTCTGTATTGCACTAGCTGATGTCCAGTGGCCAAAGCAAGTCACATGGCCCACCTCTATCCAAGGCGTGCAGAACAGACTCTACCTCTGGCTGGGAGGATTTGGAATGCCATTGTTGCGAGAATGTTCGTTCAGGGAGAGGGCCAGTGTGTGGTTGTTTTCCCGCCTACCACTGCCAGCAAGCCCCTTAGCTCCCTTTTCTTTCTCCTTTCTGGTATGTATCATCTATATTAGCAGGCTGTCTGCAGTCCTTTACTTGGGGTACACAAGTCTGATTAGAAGATAGTCTTTCCCACCACCACTGGTTTCTGTCCCTGTTCCCACCAGTCTGTAAGCCCAACTCCCTCTCTCTGATCAGCTCCTCACCTTCTGGCCTGCTAAACCCCTCTTTTTCAAATCCTCAAATTAGAAATTCAAAATCCATCACCTCTTCTCCTGTGCCTGGACCCTCTAAGGACCTCCTGGCCTCTGACTTTTTCCAGGAGTATCGGTGGAGCCCACTTACCCAGGCCTCCCTCCCTTCTTCCCCAAGGGCTGGCTAATTGGAAATGGATGGATGCAGTTAGCAGCCTTCCTTGAAAAAAAGAGTGGCCATTATGAAAATGTGTCGCTCCCCCTGCAAGCCAGCTGCGTTGGCGGCCCCTTTTCTATTATATACAGAATCCTGAGTCCCCCTCCCCAAGCACCATAACTGCCTGCAGATTTCACAAATAGCACAGCCTTTTCCTGGCACCGCGATAAAGACTTCGCAGCTTTGGGACATATAATTGGTCTCTGAAGTGTTTTGGTATTTTGTTTGAAGAAGCCAGATGAGCCCCAAAGAAGTGGCATTTATTCCATATTATTGTGTCATTATATATTTATCTGGAGGAGGGGCCAGGTGCCCTCCTCATTCCCGTTCAACACCTCCACTTGTTGGCCACCCAGGTTTCTTATCTGAACGTTCAGTTTGAAACCAAATATTTGAGTAATTCGATTAATCACTTGCATTCGTGTAGTTGGCTGGCAGAGGTTGATAGTTGGATGCCAGCCAACCAACTGGAACAGCTTCTGGACCCTGGATTTATTTTACAGGGAACATAAAACCAGATAATCACCTGGCATATTCTAGATAAATTCACAATGGCATGTTCTAGCCAATTACTTAGTAATTATCATCGAAGTTAACACGTATTTCTAAGATTAGCTTCCTTGTAATGTGGTGTGGGTGGCTCTTGGGGAGTGAGTAATAACCAACTAGTTACCCAATTGCTAGAGCCACAAATGCAATTAGTAGCAAGATTGCTAAATCGTTTCACGATTGGGTCATTATAGGATTATTGCCAGGCTATTGACCGTCTGCACAATCACTCATTTTTTTAAAGCCCCAGATGGAATTTGAAAGCCAATAAAGATAGGATTGAATGAAAGCATCTCTTGTCCTTCTCCCTTGCCGCAGTCTCTTAGATCTCAGTTTTCCCATCTGTAAAATGAACAGGTAGAAGCAGATGTTGGTTGCAGGGTCCTTCTTTGGTTCTCTGAGCCTGGGCCACTTCAGAAGCAGTCTGGAACAGCCCTGGAACCATGCTTCCCAAAATACAGTCCACCAGGGCCACCTGCATCAGAACCACCAAAGGGAGAAGGGTCATTAAAATGCAGATTCCTGGGTGCCACCTCTATTCATTTCCTAGGGCCGTCAAGACAAATGGCTACAAACTTGATGGCTTAAAGCACCATGCATTCATTCTCTTACAGGTGTGGAGGTCACAAGTTTGGAGTGGGTCTTGCTACAACCAAAGCAGGGCTGCTTTGTTTTCTGGAGGCTTTGAAGCTTTTAGAGCTCCCAACTTTTAGAGCTGCCTTCCTTGCGTCCCTTGGCTGTGGCCCCTTCCTCCATCTTTAAAGCCAGCAACGTGGCATCTTACTTCCACTGTCGCAGGTCACGTCTCTCCTATAAGGACTCTTGTAGGACCTACCCAGGTAATCCAAGATAATCTCCCATTTCAAGATGTTTGACTTAATGGCAACTGCAAAGTCCCTTTTGCCATATAAACTGACAGTGACAGTGTTCAGCAGTTAGGAACTGGATATCTCTGGGGGCCATTCTCTAGTCTATTGAATTGTCCTCAATCTGGTGGATCAAGTCTATTTGTAGGTGAAGCCTTTTTCAACCAAGCTCCCATTCTAATTCCAACAAACACTTGGGATCCTGCCCTAAAGAGTATTGCCAGGGAGTATTATTTAAGTGCACAGTGTAGGTGTCAGATGCGTCCAGCTAATGCAGATGGAAATGGAAACAAGGAAATTTCCAAGGAAGACAGACTGGACAGAATTACAAAGGACTGGAACCTCAATGGGAGGTAATGTGTTACCTATCTGGTGACAGGAGTCTGGGCCAACCTGCCTTAGCTTGATGCCATGGAGACAAAACACATCCCTGAAGTTGATGTCTCCGGGAGGGCCTCCCCAGGGCAGCCTGATGCCCCTGAACCCACCCTGGCCACGTCACAGATATGGAGACTGAGACCAGGAGAGGCCAGAGGGAGCCCAGGACAGGAACACAGATCTCCACCATCAGTATGCCTCCTCCCCTGACAGTTTGAAAACCCCATCCTTCTCCAGGCTTGTCCATCCACCCATCCACCCATCCATCCATGCAACGGATATTTAGTAAACTCTTATTAAGCACCAGGCATTTTGCTGGATGTTAGGGGACGATAGTGAGCAAGACAGACATGGACCGGGTTAATAGAGGGCTATCATTTTATTTGGAGAGACAGCAGTAAATGCTAAAGCAATAGAGATCATTTGAGTAGGTCCCAGTCTGTTGAAGGAAACAAACTGGAGAGATGTGCTGCAGAGGGACTTGGGTATCAGGGTAGTTTTAGCGATGTGTGTGTTGGGGTGGGGTGGTGTCCAGGCAGCCTCTCTGAAGCAGTGATATTTGGGCAGAGACCCTGACGCTAGGAGCCAGCAGTGCAGACGAGGGGGCAGGGCACACCCCACAGAGCAGATAGCAAATGCAAAGGCCCAGGGGTAGGAGTGAGCAGAGGGTGATTAAAGGACCAGAAGGAAGACTGTGGTGGCAGAACCTGGTGGGTGAGGGCAAGAGGGTAGACAACGAAGGTAAAGAACCTGGCGGGAGCCAGACTGGAGAGGGGAGGGGCTCTCTAGCTGGTTTGGGGGGCAGGGTTTAAAGCAATACCAGCACCTCCCCCAGTCTCTCATCCTTGGCACTGTGACCTTCTCATCCTCAGCCCTGTGGCCTTTGGGGCTGGACGATTCATTTATGGGGGCTGTCCTGTGCATTCGAGGCACACCCTGCCCCCTGCCCACTAGGCACCAGGAGGACTGACT